TTTTTCACGCCTCTTCACTTGTTTATAAAATTCGAAAAAATACTGTTTTTTTACTTTCCGGCTGTTATATAATGGCAATCGGTCAAAAGATAACCTCCCCAGATTTTTACATTTTTGGACTCGGGACATCTTGAAACGTCGAGAAATGCAAAAAAAAAAAAATTCGGGGGTCATTTCTGTATGTATGGATTTTTGTATGGGGGGCACGATTTTGTTCAGTCTCTTTGAAGCTTAATAACTCCTGTGTTTTTTGTCGAAAATTTCTGAAATTTTGCTGGGAGGTTTGTTTATCGGGGCGATCGATGCTATTAAATTTTGTTGGTTAAAGGTCGACGGAATGGGGAGATAAAGGGGGTCGTGTGTATCTCTAGTAGGATCGTATTTAATGATTTTACTCTTCATTTATAAAAGTCATCCCTACCCTCAAAATTAAGATTTTTGCCATTTTATAATAATTACAGATATAAAAAGTTTTTAATAATAAAATATCGTAACATATGGCGCCACACAAGCAGTTTTAAATGTTGCCGGAAAAGTTAAGCAACCCGTTGCTGGATTTTTTTTCCTTTCGACACAACGTAGTCAGATTAGGAAAAGTATCGGGCCCTTTGGAAAAAAATCTCTTTACGCAGCGTGCACACTCATCCTTTATTTAAGTATTAAGAATGTTATCATTCGAAACTGCCCTTCGACTTTTTTAGAATAACTTTAATGGGATTTCTCAGCACGTGAGACGAATGGCTAAGATCTTTTAAATCTACTTAAATTTTCTACACGGATCGTCGCCGCGATCGAAACCGTTTTAAATAACTCCATTTGCTAAAAATATAACGTTTTTTAAAGTTAATTTAACGTTGATTACGGAGTCACGAGCGGTAAGTTACGTTTTAGCACGCGGTTTAGCCGGCTGACGTAACGTCTAAACTACGTAACCGATACGTAACGGGACACCCCAATTAGGAAGTATTCGTTTTATTGTTAAAATATATAAATCCACTTACAACAGATGTCCGTATTGATGCGGTAGAAACTAGAATGTCTACAGCTCTTTCAATAGGTGCATCAGCTGCATTCGACGGCTCCCAACCGATACGAAATATGGAATAAATGGCACAAAATATGTATAGAATATAGAACGGCGGTGCGGGAGAAAAAAAAAACTGTGTATTTATTTAGAAAGGTGTAGCAAAATCTCCCGTAACATTTGTTTCTTGTCACGGGGCTTCGAGTTCTAAGCACGACTCGAGGGATCAGCAGTAATATCCGCCATATGTTCCATGTGTTAGTTGGATATAAAGAGAGTAAATGTGATGAGGTCAGTGCCCCATCGATGCTTTTAGAAATCGGTCAGAGTTCGGTGCATCGAATGCTACATTTCAATGATTTTGTATAAAGTTTTTACAAATTGTCTCTTCTTCTCCCTCGCCTCCTTACAGGAATTGGCAGATTCTTTAACAAAACTTTCTCTCTTCTGCAAACATTTGTATTATTTTACGCAAGACTTAAGCGAATAAATGAAATAATTTCATTAATTTCTGCATGTCGTTAATTGCAATTTTACTATAATTAAGTCACCAGTCTACGATTTTATTTTTTAATTCCGTACTTAATTGTCGTTTAGTTTTTATTTACTTCTTTAAATTGTATTCGCTTTTAGAATTTTATTAATCGTCGGATATTTAGCAAAATGTTCGAAATTCAATTTCGAATTTTAATTATTCGAAATTCAAATTTTCGAATATTAAAATTAATTTAGAGAAATATTTTTAAATTGCAGACGGTCGGTAGACAGAACGACGTTCGGAAGTCGTTCGAGTCTTTAAAATCGGAACGGAATTTAAATGATTTATTTATGTTTAAAAAAAGTATTTGCCGAAGTTGTCTGCACACGACAAATTGGTCAATCCAATTTAAAAATTCGGTAACAAATTCTGTAAACAAAATGACAAACAAAGATAATTTTTATAGCATAAAAACAGTTTTCCGGACCAATTTTCTTTGTTCTTAACTAAATTAACTGGAGGTGCTTTATCGGAAACAAGTGGGAATTCGAAAAATTCGACCTCTAAATCCAGAATTTTTGCCTTATTTCGTTTTTTTTTTTTTTTTTTTTTAAATCATCTAAACGCATAATTTATACCATTTCACGTCCGAATCTTAGCTCACTTCTTTCTCACAAATTCGTGGTTCCTCGCTACAGAACGAAAATTACCGAGTCCCGGTGTAATCAAAAACAGTTAAATCAATGAGTAAATGTAAAAATACACACTAAAGTAACGAATTTAACCGGTAAAACGAATCCAAATAGTTAGAAAAGCTAGAATAGTTAGAGGTGGCTAACGTCGATAAATAAATAATTCGTAATATTAAAAAAGTAAATAAAAAAATAACAATTGAAAGGTTTAGAATTCATCAAAAGTGGGTTTATGGCCGGATATAGACTCCCATATACATCATAAACCCGTTAACCCTGCTACCATCCTAACCTCCTTTTTATTACTCTCTAACTGACATTCATCATCGACTCTTTTCATAGAAAATATCTCAAAGCGATTTCGTGAAATTTTGAAACAAACTTCGTCTCTAACACCGTTTCGTTAAATATCTGATATTTTCTAGACATCTATTAAAAATGTCACATCTCTCCGCGTCGATACAGCCACGATAAGATATATATATTGTCCTAGGAAATTGTTCGTCGCGCCATTCTTCCGACTGGTGGCTAATCAGATGGAAGTAACATCTAGGTTTTATCTGCTCTCCATCTTAAAAGTTAGAGAAGATTCTTTCCAGATTTTTTTTTTTTTTTTTTTTTTTTTTCCAGGCTTTGAAAGTAAGGAAAAGAAAATTATGTCCGGGGTAAATTTACTCGAGTGATATTTATCGATTAGTTTTTATCCAGAATTTTAATTTAAAATGTCATTCGAGACTATTTAAAAGGTATTTTGGGAGAATTTTCAGCCGTTTTGGGAGTTAATTTGAATATTTTTCTTTGATTTTCTACGAGGAAAAAAACGTTTGCACCTGCAGCTTTACAAGATTTTTGTTGGTAAATATTGCTTTTTTTTTTGTGCCAAATTAGAATTAATTTTAGCTTGGAATTGTTTCTACTTAAATTTCAGGACAATTGTTTATTTTATTATTAGAAAAAAAGGTAATAAAATAAGTTATAAACGTAGTTATAAAAAAAAGGAAAGAACCAGCTCTAGATAAAGAGAAAATATTTCATACACAGAATTAATGGCATAAACTGGTGTTATAAAATAAATATTTTATATTCCTAATTACATTTTTAGATATAAAAACATCGTTTTGTATCTAAATATCCCTGTTTATGTGTATATACACAATAGCTTGATAATAGCTAATGCTTTTAAGTGGAGAAATTGCTAAACACTTGAATAATAATAATAATGGAAAAATGGTAACTTTTATATATGATTACTTTATAAAGTAAATAAATTTGCCTTTATACAGACGTTACGCTATTTTATACGATAGATTCGATTAAATAGCAATTTTTATCATTATTTTAACATCGAGAGATTTCTTATACGAAACTCGAAGCTGCTACGGAGTGAGGATTCTTTTTATTTTATTAAATTAATTATAGCCTATCCGTAAATCATCTTAGTTTATCGCAAACAGAGGACTATAATTAATTTTTGAAGATCAGAACTGGCAAACAGTCGAATCTCCGTCCGAGTATAAATGTTAGAAAATTCGGAGACGATCGATAAATTTTAATAAATCTAGGAATTTCGTTTCTATTTTTAAAACTGTTGTTATTATTAACGTTTTTTCTTTTTAAAGAAACGTTTATCGCAATCGCCTTGTCCGTCTGTCCGTCTGCACGATTTACAATGCGCATATCAAAGTAGACTACTAAATTTTGATAATTTAAACCCGGAGAAATTATCTCCGATGGGTTGAAACGTAAGCCAAATTTTCTACGTGGTGTTAAATGACAGAATTATTTAACACCCAACCTTCCTTCTCGGGTGTGAATTTAATTAATTCTCAATTATCCAGGTGTACTTCTTTTAATTGTAAGTTACAATACTATAAAACAATTTGCCGCAATATTTCTCGCGGTATTATCTAATCACTCATCGGAAAGCGCCGGTAAACATTTGCAAAATCGATCTCGCAAGCATTGCAAACACGGGATTAAGAGATTTCTCTAACGTATTAAGGAAACATTCCGAGTTAGCGAGAGAAGAGATTCAATAAATAACTCGTTGATTTGCGAATCCCTGGGAAGAGAGGACTATCATTCTGTTAAGAGTCACGCTCCGTCGATTCTCCTATCCTCTCGTCACTAGGGACTAGAATCGGGGAAGTGGCCACGTCCTTTCGAAAAATTTCACCTCTATCAGACGTTTAGAAAAGAAATAAAATTGGAAAAATAACCATGCAAATTAGAGAAAATTATGTTTCCGATCGCCATCGATCACTTTTTCCCCTCCTCCTGTCAGTTGTAGTGTTATAGGGTCAATTAAGGTCGCGGTAGATGCTAATCACGCAAATAATCGCAATTCGATCGACAGTTCCGATGTCGTACTTCCATTTTAATTTGTAAAATTAGAAAAAAAATGAGTAAATTTATAAGAGAACGAATTTACAAATTCGTGTCGAACTTAATTAGATCTCAACACGCGAAATCCGTGTCTTTTTTTGCCAAATTATTGTTTTTTAACGCGTTTCGTCTCTCAAATTTATTTCTGAAAAAATGCAACTAATTTACAAGCGCCAGGAAGATAAATTCTATCTGATTTACTTGTTCGAAAAGAATTACTTTTGTTGCAAATTTCTGATCCCGCGCAAGAAAAATGGGCAAAAATTTAAATGAAATGCGTTTGGCGCTAATTAAGTCGCAGAAATCGCGTAACAACCGTTAAAACTTTCAATTGGATTCGAAAGCGAGTTGAATGGAGGATTCGGACAAGGGATGCAATTTATCAAAGCTTTTTGTTAAAGAATTCAATAGGGTAACTTACCTGCTATCAATTTATCTGACGAGGAGCAGCGGCCGAACGTTAATAAGAGTGCAACAACTCTCAGCCACATAACTGGAGAGCTACGAATGAACAGCCAACCGACTGGCAGACCATAGTCAATCCGCTTCCCACCAATAGGAGAAAAGCGCGCGCATGCACTAACACCCCGTCTTTCGCTTCTTTCTAACACTTTTATTAATTGAGGCGTCGCTTCTGTCGTCGAGTGTATATTTCCCGATTCCATTTTCGTTTCTTTTATTATTTTATTTTTTAAATTTTCTTACGCTTTGTCTAACGCCATTTTTTTCCAGGCTGGAGGAAAATTCTGCTGCTAGTCTTCTCCCAGCCGTTTGTCACTCGAAAGAGGTCAGGCAGTAAAAGTGGGACTAGCCGAAAACGGGCGGTTATTACGGTTCCAGTTAGTTTCACCTAATCTATGTAGAAAATATAGAAAAAGTTGCGGGTCATCAGAGACGGGTGCAACGTCCACGGTTGCTGTGTCTTCTCGAACGATAACCCTATGTTTGTATGTTCAGAAAAAAAACTTGGCTTTTTTTCAGCTGAAATATCTTTAAAAATCGATGCATTCGTAAAGGTTTTCCCCCCTCTATTAGAATTAATATAAAAGACGAGAGAACACATCCGTGCTATCTTATAGAATTATTGGAAATCGTACGAAAATTCGTCATTCGTGCACGTCGGTTAAGGAATAAAAGTTTCGTCACCTTTAGATTGATAAATAAAAATGCTAATTAAATAAATATATATATATATTTTTCTCTTTTTCTGGAAGCGAACGGTCAGATAAGGTGTTAATGATCGAATCAATCGCAGGAAAAGATAATAATAAAGAAAAGTGGCCGTTGATAAACCGTAGTAAAGAATCGTCTCTTGCCTTTTCCTCCTCCCTCCATTACTTCGGGTCAACGGCGTTACAACATCCATCCGTTCCTATGGTAACCAACGGTATCACATGACGAACCCTCCGACTGACTGAGTAATGGACGCCATTTATTGTAGATTGATGCTTTTCGCCAATTATCCAGCGGAGGTTCATCGGCTTTGGTTTCTCTTCCCTTTATAAATCCAATATGGCTCCCTTCCTTCTTAAAAAAAATTTAAAAAATTAATACTTTCACCCCTACTGTTTTCGTTGAAAGCTACTCAACAGATGTTAAAAATAAACAAACCTGGATTTCGGGGTTAGAACTGTCACGGGTTCTAGCAATTGTGCAGTTTATAACGCGATTTTTCCAGCTAGAAAAGTTTATTAATTGCTGGCGCGTTGCAAACGTCAAAAATAACTTTTCGACATTGAATACTCGAGTAAGGCGATAAAAATTCCAAAACATTAACGTCAACGCATTACATGGAGGATGTCCAAGTCCGGATTTATGTCGTAAAATTATGCCGAAAGGTTTGCGTATTCTCGATTAATAATTCACGAATCGATTCCGACGACCGAAAAAAAGGAAGAGCAATTTAAAAAATCGGAGAAAGAATTGTCATCCGATGGCTCCGGAGTGGAAATAACATTATCTCAACATGCATCAACAACTAGTCATCGAGCAATGAGGCGTTTGGAATCCATTATGAGTCGTAGGCAAAGTACCACTTTCAATTGGCCAAGCGGTAATGACGACTTCTCGAAATTAATCGGTGGAACCATTGTTCGAATGGCCGGTGGGCGTACATAATTGTCAAAGGAAGAATCGTAAAGTCGAATGTATAAATATAATTTAAACATAAGACATTTAAACCAGATAGATTTTCCTAATTAGTCTGGTCGTCTCGCGCATCTTCCGGGCCCACACTAGTAAACCAGTTACCAATTGCCCGTTTTCTGAACATTTTGCTTTCGTCATTTATGAGTAATCGCGTTTTTAAGAGGCTCGACACGAGAAAAAATATATATACGGAGCGAAGACGTCGTTAGCTACAGTTATGGTCATATAACGTTACCTTCGATGAAATATAGAGGAACGGATGCCGGTTGATTGTCCATCAAAGAGTAATGGACGAATGCCCTGTCGTAGCTGAGGGGTCGTGACCCGCACTCCTCTTTACTAGTCATAACCGATCGTGAGTGTGTGTGTGTGCCATTTGTTTTTGTCACTTCCGATGATACTTTCTTGTTTACGACGACTTAAAACATATTTAACCCAAAATGTTCTTGTTTATTTAATGGTTATTTTTGGTATAAATAAACATTTCGATTCGCTATTTCTCAGATTATTGCCATATTTATGCGCTCTTTTTCTGCTCTCTCGCAGTTAATGACCGAATATCCCAACTCCCGAGAGACAGAAAGGATTACCGAAGTCGTCGACTAAATCATCAATTTTTTAAAATGCTTTGTTCGTTTTAACTGATATTTTATGCTAATTTAGTGTGTACTCTAGATTTAAAAATGCCACGATGTAAATATACAAGTATGACGTGTTTGTTCATTTGGGTTTTATCGAATTTCGCGGGGATAAGTATTGTAGTTTACAATGGTCCTACTCCGAATCCAACGAGTACCGAGCATCAATGTAAGATAAATTCGTAATTGTCCGAAGGACTGCGGTGTTAATTTTGTATATTTAATCTATTATAACGATGTATTTTGTTTCATTACGAGAGAATGCGTGCGTAAAATTTGACTCTCCTCTACAATACTTTGTACTTAAACTTTGTTTTAATGCATTCGAAACTCTTAAATTTTTTCGTGGGTAAAGTAAAATATCGTTTGTGTATTTTATAGTACAAGGCCGTAAAACGTCTTTAAAAACCTATTCAAAACTGTAAAATTTACGCCGAAACGGGCGCTGTTTTCGAACAAAATAAGATAACAAATTTACGAAAATCGGAATAGAATCCGAAGCCGTTACGATTTGAAATATAGAAGACATCTAAAGTGATGTATACAATCGTTTTTCAACGCTTCGTCTTTCTTTTTTAAATGTTAAGCACTCGTTTGCGTGTTGGGATAGCAACACGTATTCTTAAATTGTTCCCGCGGATTCATACATCTATAAATAAAATTTCCGCTACAAAAGAAGAACTTTCAGATTTGGTGAATTGAAATAGATCGTAAAGATGAAGGATAGACATACGGACGAACGAAAGCAGAGAAAATTTTTCTTTAAAGAATACGCTCGAAAGAGAAAAATGGGCGATATAAATTATTATAGATCGACAGAGAGAATTCAATTTACTCTCTTTAAATATTTATAGCTTTTTTTTTAAAGTTTTTTAATTGAAATTTGTTAGAGAAGTGTTCCTCGACCATCATTCATTACCACTCGACGATTAGCCGTTAGAGAATTGTAGATTTTTAATATAATTTTATTGGAAACACAAGATAATTGGATAAAATCGCGACGGCTCTTAATCGGGTTGTTGTTATTCCGAAAATATAAAACGAATCCTCGGCGGAAGTTGCAGGCAATCCCGTTTATCGACTTCCTCTTATCTGCATAACGTTTGTTAAGACCTATTAGACATCGGAGATTTTCCAAGGGGGTGGCTTCTTCGGAGGTGAAATAACCTTCGGACCAAACGTAGAGTCGTTTCTTCTCGTTAAATGTATCGGCGATTGATTTATCGCCGCGATAGCGAAGTAAGTTGCCCAACTTTCTAAGCCCTCCGTTCGCAAGAGACGAATAAAAATCACGAAATGGCGCCATTTTGCAACTTTTTTCTTTTGCGAAGTTGTCCGTAAATTTATTAAATCCGTACTTTCTGGTTTAATAAAATTCTACGATCATTCTTACTTAAAATAATCATTTTTTTAATTATAATTATTTTTAAATGATTTAAAAAAAATTTTTTTTCCTTTTTTTACTTGTCGAATTTCTCTTTTTAAAATAAAATTATTTACGCGTAATTTATTCCTTAATTAATTGTAACAACGATTTTTCGAATTCAAATGTACTGTACTTTTACTCAATTTGTCGAATAGAATAAGACGTCGACCAATCAAATGGGATTACCGTTCGAAGTGTCGATTCGTGCCCTCCGATTGGATAGACAAGAATTCAAAAGCATTTAAACGAGTAAATATTTTCTTACCGGTTAAAGGGAAGATTCGAGATATTTAAACGACCGACTAATTTCAAACTGAATATTTTAGCACAGACTGCGCGTAGTAACTAATATATGTCGATATAACAATGTTTAAATGTAAACGAGTTATTTACGTTTATTTAAAATACTATTGGCTACCTGAAGAAATTATTCGAGACTTTTAAAGGTCGTACGTTGATATTTCTTAAAATTACGTTGGCAAATATTTAGATCCGTAATCAGACGACGGTGGTGTTAAGTGAAAGAGCGATTGCCACGTAACCGTTGAACGAAACTCGGCAGTGACCGAGTGAATTCGAGTGACCGTGTCTACTAGAATAGTCCGTGTTCGTATCTCACCAATCGCACGGAGCTTCTAGGTGCTTCTCTTAATAATCTCGACTCGTAAAAAGTTTGGCATTCGAAAGTAGTAGAGCTATAAATTTTTCTATTCTTTTCCTTCCGCAGCATAAAACAATTAATACCGACCGTTGATTCCCACCTTCTTAATATTTTTATTCACATATATCCTAACACAAAATATTAAATTACCCTCTAAGGATAATCATTTATCAAATGCTACATTTTATCTTTCTACTTATATAAAATGTAGCATAAGTTGTTAAGCAGATTATTAGGCTTTACCCGTTCGAGTTAGAAAACGAAGGCAAAAACGTTGCTAAGAATTTTTCAACCAAATTTTAACGTAAGCTAAGCGAAAAATCCAGCAACGAGTTGCTTAACTTTCCCGGCAACATTTGGTGGCGTCATCTGTTATGACATTTTGTTTTAAAAACTTTTTATCTTTCTAACTATTATAAAATGGCAAAAACCTTAATTTTGAGGGCAGGGATGAGTTTTATAAAAAATTATAAATACTAATAACGAGTAAAATCGTCCTTAAGTCCGACCATACAGGAGATCTCCTTTATCTCCCCACCCCATCTATCTTTAATCTCCAAAATTTAATAGCATCAAACCCCAAAATACACAAACCTCCCGCAAAATTTCAGAAATTTTCGACAAAAAGCGCAGGAGTTATTACGCTTCACAGAGAGAATAAAATCGTGCCTCGCACACACTAACATCCATTTATATAGAAATTACCCCCGAATTTGTTCGCATTTCTCGGCGTTTCAAGGTCCCGAGTCTAAAAATGTATTAATAAAAATCTCGGGGGCATTTTTGACCGAT